GCTGTAATTTGATGTGAGAGTATATCAAAAAATATATAATTCTCTATATGACTTTCCTGGGAGTATGATCTTATGTAGGATAACAGATTCCCAACCAAGAATATATTTTGATCTTGACTATGAAAGTATGATCTAGAATATTCTGGCACAATTGTTAGTATTTGAAGTTATATTACATTTTTTTGCAACTATTAACAAAAGACAATGATACATTCATGACTACAGTAGACAATACCTAAGAACAATGCAGTAAAATACATCTCATAATAATGAAGTTTTTTTTTTTAAATATCCTACTTGGGAAAAGAATGAGGTATCTAATTACATTATCAACATCATTACAGTGATCTAAAAATAATATTAGTGATGTGTACATGGCAGTTCGTCTCAGGATGTAGGCGCAGAATCACTAAACACGAGACAAGGCAATACTATGGTAATGAAGTTGAGACACACGCACGCACGCACGCACGAAGGACGCCCGTTTGTGCAGGTCACTAAACCAGGACACAGGCAAACTGTCTGGCCATCATCACATGAGACAACATGGTAACAACATGACCGCCTACATGGATACTATTACAACATGCTGGTCGTTTTATATACTGACTTACTTATTATTATTATCTTTTTTTTTGCTATGAGGAAAGTTTGACTAAATGTACAATCAAATGTTGTATCAATATTACGACAGAGTATACTAAAGAAGAGTGTCCCCATGCATCTAAATCCTCTGACTATCCGTACTAGTTTCTTGCTAGGATCAAGGCTCGGCTCTCGCTAGAAACATCCTAGAATCTGCTAACATGTGACTAGCTTCTCGCACTAGACCTTGGCTTCTGGTTGCTAGTTCAGATGTCTCATGCCAGCACATGATATTATCTCACTTTTTTGTTCTTCTTCTATGGATATAACCACTATTCTCTATGATGGAGTGGGTGGCTAACACGCTATGATGGAGGACTACAGCAGAACGACTGAGGCACACAGGTGCCACCCGTGTGGGAGGGCCACGCCGAGACCCCCGAGGGAACTTCTGCCGGCGCTGCGGAGGAGGTCCCTCGGGTTGCCTCGCGGGTGGCCTCTGCACGGAGCGCACTTCAAGCAGTTACAGTTTTTGACATCCAGAGAACACAGTTATGTACACAAGATGGCAGAGAAAAGTCTTCTGATGGAACAGTCTGTTGATAGTGGAAGCGAGGAGACTGGTGGAGAGTAGCGTTCCACCTTATTAACGAGTACATAAGAGAGAATGTGAGGAAGCGAGAGAGAAAAAGAAAGAGAGAGAAAGAGAGAGAGAGAGAGAGAGAGAGAGAGAGAGAGAGAGAGAGAGAGAGAGAGAGAGAGAGAGAGAGAGAGAGAGAGAGAATTAGAGAGAGAGAAAGAATTAAAAAAGAGAGAGAGAGAGAGAGAGAGAGAGAGAGAGAGAGAGAGAGAGAGAGAGAGAGAGAGAGAGAGAGAGAGAGAGAGAAATAGACAGACAGACAGACAGAGAGAAAGAAAAAGGTTTTAGTACATGAAAGCTCCTCTGACTAAGAAGTACTAATTAGGTCAATCCTACAACAGAAGAAGATTTTTTTTTCTGAAATGTAAATTCCGTCCAATGGAGTTAATCCCATATTTTTCTTCTTCGTGAATCTAGACTTTATCAAAGAAAAAAAAAGAAAACCCGCCCTTCTACTGTGGTTAAACAAAGCCCACATCTTTCTGCAGGTGGGAAAGTCCAGAAGCCTCAACAGAAAGAGAGAGAAAGAGAGAGAGAGACAGAGAGGGAGGAAAAATAAAAGAAGAAGAAACAGAGGGAATGCACACTCACCTTCCTTGGGAGTTTTCCGTTGGGGCGTGATGGCTTCGAGTCCGTGATTGACTCGCCTCCTTCGCTCTTCACGGACAGACTCTCCTTCTGGTTATCGTCAATGCCATCCACGGGATCCACGTACAGACCGTAGGACCTGCTGGAGAACATGGAGGGGGACTTGCCTACAGACCCCTCGATCTCGCCTTGTGCCATTAGGATCGCCATGTCGTGCATCTTCTGCGCCTCCTCGTGTTGTTTCTGTTGGAGGGGGGAGGGGAGGAGATGGTGTTAGGTGGGTGGTGTGGTGGTTGAGGGGGGGGGGGATATCTGGGGTTGGGGGGATTGGGTAAGGGGGTGTCGAAAAATGGCGGGGGTGGGGTGTGGGGTGTGGGGTGTTGGTTGTTTTGAGAGGCACAAGGGTTGAGACTTCATTCGCTCTCGCTCTCGATTTTTTATCGTCTTTTTCTCTCTCTCTCTCTCTTTCTCTCTCTTTCTTATAAACAAATACACTCACATACACACTGAGGATGACCCTCGCTCACACACACACACACACACACACACACACACACACACACACACACACACACACACACACACACACACACACACACACACACACACACACACACCACCAGGACCAACACACGCAATCCTCCAACTTACGCGAATGGCCTCTTCTTCTGCAAGAGCAGCTTCTTCCTCCTCTTCGGCCTTCTTCTGCAGCTGATCGTAGGACATGGCGACGATGGCCAGAATGAGGTTCACCAGGTAATATGAACCCATGAAGATGATTAAGACGAAGAACAGGATGTGCCAAGGTCCGGCCGCACGTAGCACCTGCAGTCAAGGAAAGGGGACGGGTGTGGTAAGGACTGTGGGTTTGTTAAAAGATGTGCCAGTACCAAGAACCTTTTGTCATTCTTTTTTCCATTTCTCTTCTTTAATTAGCATCCCACGTAAAAGAGAAAAAGGGATTAGGTGATGATATTAAGAGTACATAATATGTGCCCTGAGGAAAAAAAAAAGAAAAGAAAAGAAAAGAAAAGAAAAAACCAGGACGATGAATACAAGGGCACTCAGCAAAAAAGAAAAGAAAAAGAAAACGAAACATTAATCGAACTTACCAATTGATATAAACTCTCCCAGAAATCTTGGGTCATCAGTCGGAAAGCTGATAAGAAGGCCCAGCCGAAGGTGTCAAAACTTGTGTACCCATAGTTGGGATTGGGGCCAAAGCCTTGTAAACATATGTAGTCTTTCGGACACTTCCTGTTGGGATACAATCGACGCCGTCAACATTAGGATAGGGAGGATTGAGGAAAGGGGAGGGGAGGGGAGAGGGGAGAGGGGCAGTGGAGACGGGAAGGGCAGGGGTCAGCTCGGGGTAATAAAAACATCGAATGTATTATTGTGAATGGATAAAACAGAGATGGGAGAAAGGGTTAAGTAACTTCCTTTTTTTTTCTCTCTGGGAATAAAAGTCGGAAAGTAATTCTATTGAACTCATTGGTTTTAGGGAAGATGGGAAACCCTAGATTGCTAAATTGGAAAGGGGGGGGGGGGTGAATGAATTGGTAGAAATCGGGGAAAAGCTGTGGCAGTTTTTTTCATATGACGGGAACACAAGAACTCATCTACGTAAGTACGACAGGGTGGTAGAGGAAGCCACAGGGAAGACCATATGATAAAAATAGGAGAGAGAGTGGAAACATAATAGTAACTATTGTATAGACATGAATAATAGCTGTATGAAGACCGAGGAAAACGGTCTGCGTTAGGACAATCTAATCTCAGAAGGAGGCGATCGTTAAGACTTGAACAAAAAAAAAAAAAAAAAAAAAATAATCCTAATAAACTGACAAAGACAATACGTTCCTAGTTACCGGAATTGGGGAAGGCTTCAGAAAGAAAACATTACGAAATGTCAATAAGTGGGAAAAAAGACTAGTAAGAGGGAAAATAGTGAAAAAATATTAAATAGTCCACATATTCTATCGGGGCATAAATTCCATGGGTTGTGATCTATAGGCGACATAATTGCCAGATTTTGAAGTGATCACTAGAAATATGGGTCATGTCAGTCAACTATGTTTCATACTGATAACTAATTCTTCACTAGGGAGACCGATAAACTATGGATTTTAAATGAAGTCTATTCCATTTTATACACTAGCGAGAATTATCTGCTCTCGACTCTGTATGTTATACCATCTAAAGAAAACTGCAGGATGCTTTATAAAGGTGAAAATAATGAGATGTAGCCACAGATACGAGCTAGTAGTAAATCCAGGTCGATAGATAAAGCTCGGTTTCGTATAATGACATACGTGTTCACAAGTATGGATCTAAATCACGTTAGACTGGTATCTCTCGTATATCAAGTGACCACCACATCTCTTTACTTTTTCCTTTTTTTTTTCTTATTTAGACTACACCATTTCTCAATATTCAGGCGACGACATCAATGCAGGTATATGAAAAATAAAACAAAAAACAAAACACAAACACACATGCAGGGGGATTAAAGAGGTGTTCGCGTGCATTCATTAAGAAATTGTTGAGTTGCGTTCGGGAATTCGGACACGGCGGGCTGTGCCAAGGAAGAGAAAAAAAAGGCGAATAAATAAGGGAAAATCTGTCATTTGGAGAATAAAATGTAACAAATCCACTTTTTTGGAAGAAAATAAATATCGAAGGGGTTCGAAAAAGGTACAAAAAAATCCTGGAAGTTACTTTCATAGCTGTTAAATTGATAATATTCTGAACTCATTTTTTTGTCTTCTTCATTATCATTATTGTACTTTCGCACCACAAAAGCTACAAATCTTAACTTTACGCTCGAAAAGATGGAAAACAAGATGAAAAACGTAGTATTACTCTAGTCCTAGGTTGAATGGTGCAGCTCTCCATGCTTGGCCGAACCGCGCGCGTCCGAATCACTCCAGAACTACACACGACACAGAGCTTCACATGGACAAGCTTCACGAGTTTCTGGAGGATGTCAAGCTTACAGGACTATTAGAGGACAGAAAGCTTCAAGGGGCTACTAGAGGATGTCAAGCTTCAAGGACTACTGGAGAATGTCAAGCTTCAAGGACTACTAGACATCAAGCTTTAAGGGGCTACTCGAAGGCCGTCCGCGCGGTGGCTGACGGCTGTCGAACGGTGGAGTCCCAGCCTGGCTCCGCATGCGACGAGAACGCTTCCTCTACTGCAAGGTTTCAACTTTACCGCAGTGCATAGGCCTCTGCCCCCCCTGACTGGTCGTTTGAGTCAGGCATTCAGCTGACGTTAAGTGTAGTTTAAGAATCCGGTACCACTTAGCCTAGAGTATGAAGTAATAGCACAATGCAGTTGTTATGGACTAGAGTGCAGATCAAACGCAGACATGCCTTCGGTTATGCATGACCAAACAAGGGAAATCAAGTGTCTAGCAGCATGCAGTCGACTGCCTTATGGGAGAAAGAATGGGGGGGGGAAATACTATTTATTTTCAGGAATGCGAGTATATCTGGAGGATGGAAAAAAAACATATAATTATTCTCGTTTGGGTGGGGGGGGTATTGGTGGTGGTTGGGCATAGAGGGTATCAGCGTTTGAACATATTAAACAGTTTGATATATCAGGATGAACTAACTGACATAGGAAAGACAATTTCTTCCTTTTATTTTAATATGCTTTATTTCACATAAGCGTTAGAAGGAGCTATTTAATGAAACTCAGTTCTAGTAGGACAACTTTATCATGGGAAGAAGGACCGTTAGAGAGGACTTTGAAAATTGGCAAAAGTGAATGGTTTGCTATTTGAAAAGGCTGTTAGAAGAACAATCATGATATTTACGTTTAATGCTTTTTTTAAACTTTTTATTTTGTTTATTCACAAACCTTGTGACTGCAGTACAATAGTGCAATGAACTCTTAAAGCAGTCATGGTACCGGATAATTATTTTTTTTTTGGTTATTCCAGGAATTGAAAGAAATACACAAACAAATCATATTTTGAGTCCAGCAGCGACGACCCACAACAACTACTTCGTTAAGGCTGTCTTTCTATCTAAAAACTATAGAAAATTAGCCCCAAGTGAAGCAAACGCGTAAAGTCGTTGTTGCTGGTCTCGGGTGTATACAGACAATAAGCCAAAAAAAGATTTTAAAAAATCAGAAAAAATAGAAATAATCAATTTAAAAAAAGAACAAAATTATGATCAGTGCCTCAAAATAAACAGCATTTTGAAACCAAATGATTAGCTAAAAATGTGGTGGTGACCGTTGTGTCAAAACAACCAGCAGGTCAAACCGAATTTCAAGCAAAAAATGTTAAGACCGGTGCGTCAAAACACTGAAACAGGTTCAAATAAAACAATAAGCAAAAAACTGACCGGTGCGTAGACTCAGGTAGGCCTAAGCCATGTAAAAAAATATTTCATCTTACCCTGCACCACTACTGTTGCCGCACAATGGCTTTTCGCCTAGATCCTCATCCACGTACCAATTTGCTGAAAAATAGGATAAGCAAAATCAACGCTCCGTTTATGCTCCGTTCCCAAAAAGGGGCAGTGGGTTCGTCAGGCACGGTCGGCGTAAACACACCAGAGCTTAGCCGAACCTTTCCGCTACCTCAAAAATAAGATTTGGTTCTCCTCCGGAAAGGTTGGACCAGCAGATTTAGTGTAAAAAAAAAAAAAATAAACAAATAAATAAAAAAAAAATTGGTTTATGTGCTCCCTAGCGTAAATAATAATAATAATGGAAAAAATATATTAACTGGTTACCGAGGATCATTTTTTTTTTTTGTTATGTATTTTTTTTTCTTTGAGCGCCGAGGCTACACTGTCAGTCAGATGGCCTATAGCATGCTAGGCTGTCAGGGACTACCTAACTACAGCTTCAGGGTCTACTGAAACTACCTACACAACTGAAACTACCTACACTAACAGTCTGGTCAGTCTAGTTTAATAAACACGGCGCCAGTTCTATTGATTTGAGGGAAAAAAAATGAGATGGCCTGAGAGAAAAAAATAGTATCCCATGTGTGGACTCTGCTAACGGGAAATCAAAATCCATTAAAAAAAATTATATATATATATGTATATATATATGTATAAGTAGATCCATCTAGCATCATGCAGACAATTAGAGACGCTACGGCCCCAGTTAATACGGTGGGAACTTGCGTGTCAAAGATGCTTCGATTGGGCGCCTCCTTCCACCTCTGACGTCACAGGCTCGGATCACGCGCATCTCTAAAACACGCTGGAAATGTACAAGTGGTACCAAAGCCCCTAAATTGGTCTCGTGAAGTGGGGCCAAGGGGAGGGGGAGGGGAGGGGAGGGAGGGGGCGGGCGTGTGCATGAAGGGGGTGAGGGGGCAAAAAGATGGGGCGTGTGTTTGTGAAGGGGAAGGGGATGGGGATAGGGCAAGGGGAAGGGGAGGGTGGGGGGGGGAGGTCTAACATCATAGCCCTGAAGGAGGGAGGGAGGGGGTAGGGGGAAGGGCGTGGGGAAGGTGGGGGTGGGGAGGTTCCTGGTTGGTCGTTTGCTGGTGTTCGTTTTGTGGGTGGAGTTTAAGAAAGTAATAAATAAATCAATAAGTTGGCAAGTAAATGGATAAATAAATAAACAGAATGTATGGTATGAGGTGTAGTGGAAGTGTGTTGATCCTGGAAATGATTATTATAATGGTTGTGAATAAAATGCGTAACAAATAATAGCCTTAATAAAGACAATACGAATGTATCGGAAAAAAGGAAAACTTCCATGCAGATAGCCTTAAAATAATTATAATTAAGTTATCGTCATCTCGAAGGACCTATTACAGTAGTGACAAGAATGACAAGATTTTTCATCAATTAATTTCTTTCCTTAACTTACAAATACTACAAGTGCACGCTTTCCTAAATACTATATGAATGGATCAGTTTCTTCATGTCCACGAACAATGACGTAATGCAGTGCTGTGCGTTCAAGTCTGCAATCAAGAAGTGTGTAAAACGAAATAAAATAATAATGATGGGAAATATCGAGAATGTACAAAGTCTGATGGTACGATGTTGGTCTGTCATAAGTATAAGTATTTAAGTATAAGTATAAGTATAAGTATAAGAGTTTCCTATCTTATTAAGCTGCCCAGGCGTCGGCTCATTGTCCAAGATCATCTCTCTCTCTCTCTCTCTCTCTCTCTCTCTCTCTCTCTCTCTCTCTCTCTCTCTCACTCTCTCTCTCTCTTTCTTTCTTTCTTTCTTTCTCTCTCCCTCCCTCCCTCCCTCTACCCCTCTCTCTCACCCTCTCTCATTCTCCCGTCCTCTCCTTCCATCCTCCTCCCTCCCTCTTTCTCTCTCTCTCTTCCTCCCTCCTTTCCTCCTTCCCTCCTACCTCCCCTCCCTCCCTCCCTCTCTCTCTTCCCTCCTCTTGCCTTTTCCGATGACGTAGTTGCGCTAATGTCTAAGCTGATCCTACACACACCTGGACTCCTCCCCCTTCCCCTCCCCCTCCCCCTTCCCCTTCCCCACCTCCCCTTCCCCTTCCCCCTCCTCCTCGTACCCGTGTCCTAAACTCCTTTGTATTCAGGTTGGAGTGGGAGGGAGGCGGAGGATATCAGTAGTGCAAGGTGCAGGAGAGTGGGGATCAGTGTTGCAACGGGGTACGAGAGGCGTGAGAAAGGTAAATGTTGCAAGGGCGGACGATCAGTTTTATAAAGTGGGAGCCTTGATTTTGCAAAGTACGATGGCGTTGCAGTGCAAGGGAAGTGGCGAGAGGGAAGGGGGGGGAGGGGTTAGAAAATAGGGAGGGGGGGAGGGGTGTTGGAGATAAGGGGAGTAGGAGGTAAAGGGAATGATGGGAGAGAAGGGGGGGGGGAGGGCGTGAGGAGAAAGTGAGATTTAAAGCAAGGGGAATATGAGGCAAGGGGCGTGTGAGGCAAGGGGAGTGTGAGGCAAGGGGAGTGTGAGGCAAGGGGAATGGAGGAAAGGAAGGGAAGTGGTGTGAGGCAAGAGGAGTGTGAGGCAAGGGATGTGTGAGGCAAGGGGAATGTGAGGCAAGGGAAATTTGAGGCAAGGGGAGTGTGAGGCAAGGGGAATGGAGGAAAGGAAGGGAAGTGGTGTGAGGCAAGGGGCGTGTGAGGCAAGGGGCGTGTGAGGCAAGGGGCGTGTGAGGCAAGGGGAGTGGGAGGCTCAAGAAGAATGAAGCAAGGGGAAAGGCGGGAGGACCAATATTCATCATCATCATTTCGACATCACCATTATCATTATCATCATATTCATCACACTTCATATATCAAATAATCTGCGAGTCTCAGCTCTGTGAATTTTTGTGTTTTTGTTTGTTTGTTTGTAGGCGTACATACACATACACTTGCATTATCTGCAGTATATTGATCATCTGATTTACCAATGCTGCATTCTTATCATCATGAAATATGAAAAAAAAATCGATTAATTTACATTCCTTTTGTGTGTGTGTGTGTGTGTGTGTGTGTGTGTGTGTGTGTGTGTGTGTGTGTGTGTGTGTGTGTGTGTGTGTGTGTGTGTGTGTATTTAAAATATTCTAAATAATTACACATAAAGTAACATAAATGTTAATAGTAAATCACTGCCACACATTTTCTGCAGAATTCTGGTAGAATCTTGCGACCTGATAAGCTCGAAGTAAGTTAATATTTTACCAACATTCGCGCGAAATAGCCTTTGCTCTTTTTTCACCTAAACGTTTTTATCAATAACATACAAAAGTTTTTCTCCGGATGCTAATGTTTCTAATGTGAACATGGTCGTTTTGTATCCTAAACAGCGCGTGTGCGTGTGTGTGCGCGTGTGTGTGTGTGTGTGTGTGTGTGTGTGTGTGTGTGTGTGTGTGTGTGTGTGTGTGTGTGTGTGTGTGTGTGTGTGTGTGTGTGTGCTTTCTCTAAGCGTCTCTACGGTACAAAATCGTATAAGCTGTTTGCATGATATGACATCTGCTTACCATCTGAATTTTACATGAGGTGATATAACCACGGATCATTAAATGCTTGAACAAATTGTAGAGAAAATAAGTGATGTCTCTTTGATGTCTAAGAATAATGGGTAAGAGTAACGAGGTATTCGAGTCGACCCCTACGAAGATGTGCGTACGTCGTGATGGATTCTTCAAGATGATTGCAACGAAGGCAACTCACTGTGAAATTAGTCTCGCGAAATTACGGTGTGTTGTACCAAAGGACTTCATGCATTACTTCAAGAGAATGTTGTTATTCTTTATGCATCGTATCTATCTATATCTATTATTCTATCTTTTTTCTTCTGAAGGGCCGCGGGTCTGGGCCATGCGTCAAGGTGAAAAGGGAACTAGCTTCACGTCAAGCCAAACGTCAAGGGAGAGTCTTATTGGGAGAGAATCTGGGACGTCGAGAGAACGTTAAAAAACAAAAACAAAAAAGCTACGGGCTGTCAGCGAAATAACAATGAAAGCATATGAATAATGCAGTGAAACAGACGTTGATAGATACGTAAACTCAGAGATTAGCCGACGTCACGACGAAGTTATCAATGTCGCATCAGTTACGAAAGAAAAGGGAAATGTGAAAAATAAAAAAAAAGACAAATGAAACGAACTTGTCTATGCTATAAAGTCATTTGAAATGAAACTTGTTTAATCTATAAAGTCAACCGTAAAGAGTAAAAGTCCACATACATCCCTCTACGTCTCCCCTTGCCCCCCTCCCCCTTTTAATAACCATAAGTGTTTATATGTATATTTTTATAGTACCTTCTCGTGACGGCTGTTGTTTCGTTGCTTTAAGTATTATCTACAAAATAGTACCAGCTAATTCATTACATGGCAACACCCACACTAAAAAATATCCATTAAATTGGTAACACTAAACTGTCAAGATTGCCTCAAAATTGCACTCTGTCATGTGGAAAAAATCTATAAGAATGAAACTACAAAAATGATACAGTAAGTACATATATATATATGCACAAATGAGGGATGGGTGGGGGTGGGGATATCTAAAAAAAAAAAAAAAATAATGATAATAATAATAAAAAAATATACAAATATATATAAAGAGAACATACTTACCGGGGAAGTTGTGTTTCTTGTCACACTCATTAGCATTTTTTTTTTTTGTATAGTTTTTGTTTTATTATTTTTTTTCCTCTGCTTATTAGTGTGATTAGTATCTTACATTCACAACACACAGAAACACCTGACTGGCTTATGATCAGGAATATCATTTTTTTTGTTTCACTTTTTTTTCTCATCTTGCGACCACTGGTTTTAAAAATAGGACTCTTTAAGGCCTTTCAACACCCCGAATAAGCCAATGTACAGGTATTTTCTCTAGTATCATTTATTATTATCATTATTACTATTATTATTATTATTATTGTTATTATTATTATAAATTATTATCATCTTTACTATTATATTAGAAAAAATACGAACAAAAACACTCATTTGAAAAAAAATATATAAAGAAACCCCAACAAAGAAAAAAAAAGGAAAACAAAGATGTGAGTAGATACAAGGAAAAAGAATAATAATAAAAACTATATCTAATCGGGGATATCCTTTCACCCCCCACCCCCAAACCCCTTCCCCCACTCCCCCTCTCCCCACCCCCCCCACCACATCCACCATGGCATTCCACGTCTACTTACTTTCGTTACAAGTAAAGTTGTACCACTCTTCGTGTGTCCAATGTTCTTTACTAAAATTAAACTTTCTGATACACTTTTGCGTCAATACCCCCATGTAAATCTGTAGTCCAAGTAAGGCAAACACTGAGAGCGAAAACACAGTAAGGATAATGACATCACGTAGATTTTTCACAGACTCGATCACAGCACCCACGATAGTCTTCAAGCCTGTTGGGGGGGGGGAGAGAAGAGAAAGGAGAAATGGGTTAATAACTTCGTTTCGTTTGTGGATTAATAGTTGCTAGATAGTTGTGTTTGCTAAGTGTTTGCTAGCTGTGTTTTTGAGATATTCATTTGTGTTGCTTAAGTGTTTACAAGCTGTGTTTTGAAATATTTACTTGGTTGTATTGCTAAGTAATTGCTAGATTTATCATAAAGTGTTTGTCAGATAAATACTGTACTGCTATTTGCTAGTAGTATTTATTTATTAGTTGTAACTATAATTTGCATTCCTAAGTATAGTCAAATTGTATTGCGAACTATTTGCTAACACACACACACACACACACACACACACACACACACACACACACACACACACACACACACACACACATACACACACAAACACACACACACACACATACACACACACACACACACACATACACACACACATACACACACACACACACACACACACACACACACACACATACACACACACACACACACACACACACACACACACACACACACACACACACACACATACACACACACACACACACACACACATACACACACACACACACACACACACACACACACACACATACAGTAACATACCTACACTGAAAAGCAAAAACAAAACGTACAAACATACGAATTAGCGAGAATATCAGTGAAAAGATATACGAATGAAAACAAAATAAAAGAAAGAAAGGGAGAGGAAAGGAGAAACTATTACTCATATGGGGGTCATGAAATAATAATTATAAAAGATATAAAGAAAGAAAGAAAGAAAAAGAAAGGGAAGAGGAAAAAAAAGATAAACAAAACGAAAGAAAATTAGGCTCTCTTCCAGGACACGAGACAGAAGGAGGCCTTATTTAGGGAAGCTCGTCTAGGGATGACCACATGACACCCTGAGTCAGGGCAAAAACTGGGTCAAAATAGGGAGAGAGGGAGGGAGAGAGGGAAGGAAAAAGGGAGGGAGAGAGGGAGGGAGAGAGAGAGGGAGGGAAAGAGGGAAGGAGAGATGGAGGAAGGGAGAGAGGGAGGGTGAGAGGGAGGGACAGAGGGAGGAAGAAAGGGAGGGGAGAGGGAGGGACAGAGGGAGGGAGAGAGGGAGGGAGGAGAAAGGGAGGGTGAGAGGGAGGGACAGAGGGACGGAGAGAAGGAGGGAGAGAGGGAAAGGGAGAAGGAGGGTTCAGGAAGTGGGGGGATATAGGGGCGACTTAATTATGATTAGAAACTGAAAAAAAATACGAGTGCCATAAAGTGTCACGGGATTTTTTCTGTTGCTTTCTCTCTCTCTCATACGCCACTAAACACTTCCACAACCACCTCAAAATATTCCACTCTCACGTACACCTCATTACACCAGTTATCACCAGTCACCACCAATCATCACCAGCGTCACCACACCGTTCAGAACCAATTACACCACACCGGTCATCCTTAGGGTCATCACGCCGGTCATCACCAGCATCACCACACACCAATCATCACCAGCCATCACCACTCCTCCCCATCGTCGTCACACCAGCATCACCACACCGTTCATAACCAATCACCACCGCACCAGTCATCACCAGTCACCGCCACTCATCCCCATCGTCATCACACCAGTCATCACAACTCGTCACAAATCGTCATCATGACTCACCTGGGACAATAGCGACAGTCTTCAGTGCTCTCAGTACTCTGAAGGTTCTCAAGGCTGCCAGGTTACCCAGGTCAATGCCCATTGTCACATATCTGGAGGGAAGGAAAGGAAAACATATGAAGGTCTATTACTTAAAAAAAAAAAATCATTTACCTTTTGAAAAAAAAAAAAAAATGAAGGCCATTTAAAAGGAAACATTTAAAGGTCATATTTTTTTTTTTAATGAAGGACATTTATAAAATAAATGAAGACCATTTACTTTTAAAACATTTGTAGGTCGTATTATTATTAAAAAAATATAAAGCCATTTTCTCTTTAATATGTTTAACAGCCATTAAACGTATTAGGAGGTATGACTATTTTGTTCCTTCTTGTTTAAGTAATTATACATTCAATAAAAAATACAGATACTCAATGAACTCCAATGAAGTATATATTCAAAAATTTCCAAACAAATGGCATTCGTTTATAAGAAGTGTAAACAAACTTCGTCTGTAATGATATATATTATTTGTTTTCTTATTCAAATTCAGAAAACAAGAGAAGAAGAAAAAACCTTGTTAAAGAATAAGTGATCTAAGAATGAGTGAGAGAGAAATAGGGAGATACAGATAGATGGGTAGATAGATATATAGGTAGACAGAGAGATGGAGGAATAGTTTGATAGAAATAGAGACAGATATATATAGAGAGAGATCGGTCGATCGATAGATTGGTAGAAAGATCAAGAGAGAGAGAGAGAGAGAGAGAGAGAGAGAGAGAGAGAGAGAGAGAGAGAGAGAGAGAGAGAGAGAGAGAGAGAGAGAGAGAGAGAGAGAAAATGGATAGATAGGTAGACAGACAGATAGATAGATAAATAGATAGAGAGAGAGAGAGAGAGAAAGAAAGATATAGAGACAGAGAAACAGACATACAGACAGCAAGCTACAAGAAGAACAACAAGAACAACAACAATAACTATAGTAAATACTTACGCTAAGGCTATAACTATGAAGTCCAGCCAGTTCCAGGCGTCGCGTAGATATGTGAACCCTTCTAAAATGAACCCTCTGGCCATTACTTTCACACCAGACTCAAAGGTGTAGATTGCTGTGAAGAGAACTCTGCAGAAAGAAAGTATCGAGGATTATTATCATAACTTATTGTTGTTGTGGGTGTTGTTATTATTATTGTTATCGTTATTGTTGTTTTTGTTGCTGGTGTTGTTATTTTCATTACTATTTTCATCATTATTACCAATATGATTATTATCCCTGTTATCATTATCATTATTATTATCATTATCTATATCATTATCATCATCATCATCATCATCATCACATCACCATTATTATCATTATCATCATCATTATTATTATTATTATTATTATTATTATTATTATTATTATTATCATTATTATTATTATTATTATTATTATTATTATTATTATTATTATTATTATTACTATTATTATTATCATTGTTATTATCATTGTTACTATTATCATTATTATTATCATTATTATTATTAGCATTATTATCATTATTAGTAGTATTACTATTACTATTATTATTATCATTGTTACTATTATCATCATCATTATCATTATCATCATTATTATCATCACTATTATCCTTATCACCAATATCATCATTATTATCATATCTATTAATATCATTTCACATCTGTTATGAAACATCCTTGAACATATGGCAATGTTATTCTTTTATACATGTGACGATGAGAGATAACTTGGATAGAATTAAATCAATGTTTGTTTTACAGTATTTTAGCCATGTGATTTTTTTATATATATCACTGTGAGTGTTCATATAATTCATATAGTTTTTTGTATTGATTTTGCTATAAGGAAGAGAGAGAAGAACATATCTTAAGAACAGATATTCGGAAGGTGTTCTTTCATGCTCTATTTTCTACCAGTCTATTTCCTCTTATTTTACGGTGAAAAAGAGACGAAGAAACAATATTTTAAAAAGTTTACTCACGCTGTAAGATAAGAGAGAAACGAAAAATCAACATTCAAAACAAGTACTCCCTAAATTCGAAGCCTCTGCATATTCGATGCCCCGCCCCCTCAAAAAAAGAAGAAAAAAAGAATAAAAAAGGAAAAAGAAAATGAAAAAAAAATGTATTCATTCTGAACTCAATTTTCTTAACTGCTAAAGGAAAAGGAAAAAGAAAGAGAAAACGAGAATAGGCAAAACCAACATGCAAAAAATGTACTTACTCTGAAGCCTGCGCATTTCGAGAGAGGAAACAAAAAAACAAAACAAAACAAAACAAAGCAAAAAAAACAGAAAATGGAAAGTGTACTCACTCTCGATGGGGAAAACGAGAGAGAGAGAAAAAAAAGGAAGACGAAAAGCGAAAGGTGTACTCACTCTGCAGCCTCTACTTCATCGATGGGGAAAACGAGAGAGAAAAAAAAGAACGAAAAGCGAAAGTGTACTCCCTCTGAAGCCTCTACTTTCTAGATGGGGAAAACGAGAGAGAGAAAAAGAAAAAAGAAAAACGAAAAACGAAAGGTGTACTCACTCTGAAGCCTCTCCTCTCTCGATGGGGAAAACGAGAGAGAGAGAAAAAAAACGAAAAACGAAAAACGAAAGGTGTACTCACTCTGAAACGTGGAGGAAACGAGAGAGAGAGATACAGAACGAAGAAGAACGAAAAACGAAAGGTGTACTCACTCTGAAGCCTCTACTTTCTCCGTGGCCGGCACAATCATGAGGACGCAGTTGGCTAAGATGGTGCAGATAATGAACAGGTTGAAGAGGGGATGGATGAGAATGAAAATGGCTGTCCGCCGAACAGGATTGAAGGGACTAAGGATCCACATGGCGTCTGTGGCACTGAATCGAAAAATGTCCTTTCCTTTGCTTATGACCACCATCGTCTGCGAAGAAAAACGAAAAAGAACAAAGATAAGTTAAAGGAATCTATTGCAATCATCCAGTTTGTATTGTTGTTTTTGTGCGTGTTCTTGGGTGGTAATTGTTATCATCATCATCATCATCATCATCATCATCATCATCATCATCATCATCATCATAATCATTACCTTCAATATCATCATGATTATTACTCTTACAATTTTAGTAACGTTACTGTATATTTCATTATTATTATTATTATTATTATTATTATTATTATTATTATTATTATCATTATTATTATAATTATTATTATTATTATTATCATTATCATTATTACTATTATTATTATTATTATTATTATTATCATTGTTATTTATTATCATTATTTTTTTTTCTGGGTGGGGGATTCTCAAATATGTAAGTACAGGGAAATGACACATACTACAAATCATATCCAAGGTAAAAAAAAAAAAAAATTACGGAGGGAAAATGCGCATTCAGTAAAGTTTAAGGAAAATACCGCTTATGGGTATTATGTAGGAGATAGCGGATATCTCGCGCCTTTCATGACGTGTAGGGGAAAACAGTAGTTATTCTATGGCGTGTCTAGGGGAAAACAGCAGATATTCTATGACGTGTCTAGGGGAAAACAGCAGATATTCTATGACGTGTCTAGGGGAAAACAGCAGATATTCTATGGCGTGTCTAGGGGAAAAATCACGAATAGGACGACCTTGATGGGCAAATTTCGTGTCCTTAGGAGTGTTGGGGGAAGTTGTTTGGGGGAAAGAAATGCCCGTACGGCTAAATCAGTTCTTAATTAAAGAAAATCAGTATCTTCATGATGATGATGATGATGGACTATCATAAATCCATTCTGACAAAATAAGAGTATGCAGGCCAGTATGTATGTATTTGCATATATAAAAAGATATTAAAAAAAACAGGGATATTGGAATGCGATATATTGATGCACACACACACACACACACACACACACACACACACACACACACACACACACTCACACACTATTTTATGCCATTATTTATAGTTTCATTTGTATATGAGACAATCATTACCATAATATTCATGTCTTTTGTAACTATTTGTTGTTCATTATCTACTGTGACTGTGTCTCAATACATCTCTGGACAGTCGTTACTGTATTTATGTTTCTATAAGCATAAAATTTCCCATTATTCCCTCTTTAAGGATTTTTTTTTCAACTTTCTCTTCTTTCTATCCTCCCCCCCCTCTCCATCTCCCTCTTCGTTCATTTCAGAGTATTCATTCCACTTTACTGATTTAAAACAGCAAATTAAAAGCGTTATCATTTTCAGCGTTATTTTTATTATTATTTTTTTAAGCGTTATCTTTTTCTTTCTATTTTATTTCGTTCTTCTGTAGACTAACATCATTTGTTCCCTATTTCTTTCCATACACGTAAAAAGGGTACAGCGAGAGTGCGTTGCTATTACGAATACATTATACAGCATAGCTTAGCATAGATACTACAAGTGTTACAGCAAAGGCGATTCCTTTATTAAAAATACATCATTAATACATTCCTGTCCCCTCTTTCCTCCCTCCGCATCGTCCTGTCTCATCATTACTGAAATAGAGTGTTTTTTTCTCGGCACAAGTACAACACTGACAAATACCTGTACCCTTTCCACCTCCCGCGGTACAGTTAGAGGTGAAAGTCCTGGACCATAGCGTGAGGAAGACTGCGTTTGTCATTGATTCTGGTCACCGTATTTGGCAGGTAGCTATAGTAACATTGAACCCTAATCCTTGACAGCTCTACTGACCCATGCGAACTTTCGTGGGCGTTCCACTATGTATCGTTCATCCCCACACCTCCGATTGGCCGGTCAGGACGAACGAAATATTGTGGAGAGCGTGTGTGATCGTTTCCATTCGGAGGTTGTCACGAACACATTAAAGATAAAATACCCAATGTTTTTTTGTTTTTTTTTGTCTTATACTTCTGGGTTTTGGGTGAGGTTGAATTGCTCACACCACGATGGAACGAAGGAGTCGGAATAGCCTTAGTTCTGAACTAGCCGGTGAGGGGAACTAGTCATTTTTAAAGATTTATCGTCATTATTTAAAAAAAAAGACCATAGTCCCAATTAATAAAGCCAATCCTAACTGGGCCACGTTAAGGAATCCTTGATATCGAAATAACCACGGGAGGGGGGCGAAGGGGGGTGGGGGGTGGGGGGAGACAGAGAATAAGGGTAATTTTTCACACAGACCAGAATTTAAAAGAAAAGAAGAAGTAAAAATGTCGTCCACGTGATTTGGTTGGGCAGGATGGCTTCGGAATGCGGTGGTGGTGGGGTGGGGGTAGGGGTGGGGGTGGGGGTTGGTACCAAGCTGCGGGGCGCATTTCATAGCATTAGAAAGAGAGAGAGAGAGAGAGAGAGAGAGAGAGAGAGAGAGAGAGAGAGAGAGAGAGAGAGAGAGAGAGAGAGAGTGAAAGAGAGAGTGAGTGAGAGAGAGAGAGAGAGA